GGGTTCACTAGCTCAACATGTTCTTCTGTTGGTGGGTTCACTAGCTCAACATGTTCTTCTGTTGGTGGGTTCACTAGCTCAACATGTTCTTCTGTTGGTGGGTTCACTAGCTCAACATGTTCTTCTGTTAGAGGGTTCACTAGCTCAACATGTTCTTCTGTTGGTGGGTTCACTAGCTCAACACGTTCTTCTGTTGGTGGTTCACTAGCTCAACATGTTCTTCTGTTAGAGGGTTCACCAGCTCAACATGTTCTTCTGTTAGTGGGTTCACCACCTCAACATGTTCTTCTGTTAGTGGGTTCACTAGCTCAACATGTTCTTCTGTTGGTGAGTTCACTAGCTCAACATGTTCTTCTATTGGTGGGTTCACTAGCTCAACATGTTCATCTGTGGTGGGTTCACTAGCTCAACATGTTCATCTGTGGTNGCATTTTGATCGACCAACGACACCTAAGGAATTGGTTCGAATCTGATAATTTAAATCAATTTATTTGGCCATCATCCACCATTGTTTAAACCTAGTACAAACTGCACACGTTCAATTGTTACGTACATTCGTAAGTTCCATTGTACTATTGTAATTGTGTTGTAACGAACCCGTTACACTGTAGTATTATAATTGTGCTGTAACGTACCCGTTACATTGTACTATTGTAATTGCATTGTAACGTACACGTTACAATGTACTATTGTAATTAGATTGTACCGTACCCGTTACACTGTACTATTGCAATTGTATTGTAACGTACCCGTTACATTGTACTATTGTAATTGTATTGTAACGTACCCGTTATCTTGTACTATTGTAATTAGATTGAACCCTACCCGTTACACTGTACTATTGCAATTGTATTGTAACGTACCCGTTATATTGTATTATTGTAATTGTATTGTAACGTGCCCGTTACATTGTACTATTGTAATTGTATTGTAACGTACTCGTTACATTGTACTATTGTAATTGTATTGTAACGTACCCGTTACATTGTACTATTATAATGGTATTGTTACGTACCCGCTACACTTTACTATTATAATTACATTGTAACGCACCCGTTACACTGTACTATTGTAATTACATTGTAACGTACCCGTAACAGTGTACTATTGTAATTGTATTGTAACGTTCCAACTGGAACGTGTACTATTGTACTATTGTGATTGTATTGTAACATAGCCGTTACACTGTTCTATTGTATTTGTGATGTAACGCACCCGTTACATTATACTATTGTTACTTCCCGTAACGTTCCCGTTACATTATACTATTGTAGTTGCATTGTAACA